AAAAAAAAAAAAAAAAAAAAAAAAAAAAAAAAAAACACGAAAGTATTTTAGGCTCTTTAAACACCTGAAAAGAACATGGATCATGACTGTTACGTTTATTATAATATTTGCTATAGTTAGAAATAAAGCCTGACAGAAGTCAAATATTTGTTTAATAAATGACTTATAATAATAAATGATCTGATAAAAGGAATGCAAAAGTAAAAGTTACTTCTAACAAAATGAGTCAAACAAGTATTGTATTACAAATCAATTTAGCACAAATTAAAAATAGAAGAACGCTTTTGCCAATAATTCACAAAAATTTGAAATGTTATAATATTAATTGTGGTTGGGATAAAACAAACTTCGTTCTTTCATTCTGCATGTGGAAACACAAATTGTTATAACCTCTCTAGAAAACAATTTGGTAATATATGATCATACTCTTAACAGTTTGTGTATATTATGACTTAGTCAAAATACATCTTAGGAAGTAATCAAAGATGTATAAAAGTTATATGTGCATATATTTCTCAAAGGAATATTTATAGTAGTAAAACTTTTGATATTCTCTAAAAGTTCAAGAATAAGGGCAAGGTTAATTAAAATATGATAATTAAATGAAACCTTATAAAACTTTTTTCAAAGTTCTATTTTGAAGAAAATTACAGGACCAAGGAAAATATACTTGTATAATATTAAGCCTAAAAAATGTTAGAGCACCAAATTGTATAAATACAGTGAGCTTCTAATTTTTTAAAAAAGAATAAAAGGATATGTTTGCTTGCACAGCCATATTTAGGTGTGATGACAGTGTTGGGTCAGGGGAGATGGAGGAGGGAAGGGAAATCGGGAAAGGGTGCTTAAAGTGAAGTTGACTTAAATAGCCCAGAAGGATGAATAAAAATGGCCGAGCTACTCATAGAATGTTGCATGGGTCTCTACATGTCATCTCATCTAAACAGACTGTTTATCCATGCCTGAGATTCTCACAATGAGATGCACTCTTGTCTCCATTAAGCACTTTGAAATAGAGATTCTTAAACCTTCTCCACTCACGGCATCTTTAATGTCTCACAGCACTCTTGGCTCAAAACAAATACCTAAACATTTGTTTATTCATTAGTTAAGGAAAAAACAAATTAATAAGTATTTAGATCTAACAAAGTAGTAGCCGCCTGAAAAATAATGCATATAAATTTTAAAAAGCTCTCATTTCATTTTCAAACAATCACAATCACTTACTAAGGAGATGTAACTTGGGCACTACACAGTTCTTCAGACCTTGGAATTAGATTGGACTGGATAGGAACAGCCTGATTTCATGTTCCATGATGATTTTTGGCTGCACTTGATTTTTATCCCAGCAACTACTGAAAACCCAATTTTGCATAGATATGACATCATTGAAAGGAATGTATTACAAATTACTATTGAAACTGTGAACCTTGAGCTAGTAGTTTCTGAGTGGTGACTAATAGATGTCACTGAGTTTCTCTTGAAAACAAGATACCCTGTGAGGGCCCTGGAAACCCACTGAGGTACCCCAGGTTTTAGAGCATACAAATAACTCCTCTGGGTACATTTAAGCCATGTTTTAGAGCATTCCATACTCCATCTGCTCTTATAGTACTCTGCTTTTTTGTGATAAATTTGTGTGTACTTGTAGTAGAAATTGCCGTCTTTTGTGGCTTTTATCTCCTTAGCATCTTATAGCATTCTTTATACATGACATTATATTGGCATTGAATTGAAGAGATAGCCTATGCGTTTTTGGCATAATTGCAATCAGTTTATTGATTATGTTCATAAATCTTATATTTTGAATAAGTTAATATTTGAGTAAAGTTTACAGGTAAATCTAAAGATTTTAATATTCTAAAACATTTTTTTATTTCTAATGTTAAATTATTAGTAGCAAATATAGAGATCACTAGATATAAAATGTTATAATTTAATATTACAGTCTATAGTTGTAACTATATATTTATATTTTGTAGTTATTAAATGATTCTACTCATCCTGGTAATTGCTTTATAGGAAAAAATGGAAACAACAGGAACATTCAAACTATTGAAGTATCAGTTGGTGAAAGAAGGATTTAATCCACTGAAAATTTCTGATCCACTTTACTTCATGGATAACTTGAAAAAGTCCTATGTTTCATTGACCAGGGAAATTTATGATCAAATAATGTTAGGGGAGATAAAACTTTAAGATTTTGTATATATAGAACTTTCATATGCTTTCCTAGGAAGAGTGAGAGGAGAGTATATGATTCTTTACTAGGAAATAGGGACAGAGAGCTAACATTAATTATGTATGTTCTATATTTCCTTAATATGGGAGATAATTTTTTAATTGCATAAGAATTTTAATTTCTTTTAATCGATATAGACTTTAGTTGATTATTCTTTTTACCTATTTGGAGATTCAGTCTATAACTAAATATTAATATTAAAGACTTTAAATAATAGTGGCTAACGGTTTGGACAATCACTAAAAATGTACTTTCTAATAAGTAAATTTTCTAATTTTGATAAATGATTAAATTTTACTGACATATTTTTATGTATCCTATCCTATAACTTAATAACATAATTTTTATTAAAAATGTGTTTTCAGTTTTTGTTCTGGTGTTTTTAATTGTAAACTTCCAGTCAAAGAAAGCTGGCTGGCTAAATGGAAGCACTGATATCTCCTTTATCTTAAACTCACATTAAAATGATAGAAGAAATATAAAAATGTGAAAAAGCAGATCAGGAAAACTGATAAGCTCAGAGCACTTAGGAATTTTTGGAAGATATATAAAAGGGATAATTTGATAATAAAATCTGCCTAAGCCACTCATGATACAGATAAAGCATAGACTAGGATAGAGCCCTGGAATTATCATCAAGATTAAAAACAAAAAGGGCTGCAAGTTTGGACAGTTTTGTAAGTAGTTAATGGGGAAATTTATTATAAGGATAATCTGATGAGCACAACTGTACTTATCTCAAGCTGGAAGCACGAGGCTCCAGTATTTCCTTCAAGCTAAAACCACAAAAATGACTTTATTTTTAATTATTTTTATAATTTTTAAAAATTATACTGTAAGTTCTGGGGTACATGTGAAGAATGTGCAGGTTTGTTACATAGGTATACATGTGACATGGTGGTTTGCTATTCATCACTCCATCATCTACATTAGGTATTTCTCCTAATGCTTTCTCTCTTCTATTCTCCCACCTCCCCCATCCCTCCCCTAGCTCTGCACCCCATGTCAGGCCCCTCATGTGTGATGTTCCACTCCCTGTGTCCATGTGTTCTTATTGGTCAACACCCACTTATGAGTGAGAACATGTAGTGTTTAGTTTTCCGTTCTTGTGTCAGTTTGCTGAGAATGATGGTTTCTAGTGTGGAGATTCCTCAAAGGTCTAGAAATAGAAATACCATTGACCCAGCAATCCCATCACTAGGTATTTTATTTTTATTTGTTTAAATTGACATGCTTTATTTGGTTTGTTTTTTCTTTTATTTTTCTAATTGACGTGTTTTATTTTTCTTTTAATTGTTATACTTTAAGTTCTGGGGTACATGTGTAGATCCTGCAGGTTTGTTACATAGCTATACACATGCCATGGTTGTTTGCTGCATCCATCACCCTGTCATCTACATTAGGTATTTCTTCTAATGCTATCTCTCCCCTAGGACCCCACCCCCATACAGGTCTTGGTGTGTGATGTTCCCTGCCCTGTGTCCATGTGTTCTCATTTTTCAATACCTACTTATGAGTGAGAACATGAGGTGTTTGGTTTTCTGCTCTTATGTTAGTTTGCTGAGAATGATGGTTTCCAGCTTTATCCATGTCCCTGCAAAGGACATGAACTCATCCTTTTTTATGGCTGCATAGTATTCCATGGTGTATATGTGCCACATTTTCTTTATCCAGTCTATCATTGATGGGCATTTGGGTTGGTTCCAAGTCTTTGCTATTGTGAACAGTGCTGCAGTAAACATACATGTGCATGTGTCTTTATAATAGAATGATTTATAATCCTTTGGTTATATACCCAGTAATGGGATTGCTGGATCAAGTGGTGTTTCTATTTCTAGATCCTTGAGGCATTGCCACACTGTCTACCACAATGGTTGAACTAATTTACACTCCCACCAACAGTGTAAAAGCATTCCTATTTCTCCACATCCTCTCCAACATCTGTTGTCTCCTGACTTTTTAATGATCACCATTCTAACTGGAGTGAGATGGTATCTCAGTGTGGTTTTGATTTGCATTTCTCTAATGACCAGTGTTAATGAGCCTTTTTTTGTATGTTTGTTGGCTGCATAAATGTCTTCTTTTTAGAAGTGTCTGTTCATAACCTTTGCCCACTTTTTGATGGGATTGTTTGTTTTTTTTTCTTGTAAATCTGCTTCAGTTATTTGTAGATTCCGGATATTAGCCCTTTGCCAGGTGGGTAGATTGCAAAAATTTTTTTCTATTCTATTGGTTGCTGGTTCACTCTAATGAGAGTTTCTTTTGCTGTGCAGAAGCTCTTTAGTTTAATTAGATCCCATTTGTCTATTTTGGCTTTTGTTGTCATTGTTTTTGATGTTTTAGTCATGAAGTCTTTGCCTTTGCCTATGTCCTGAATGGTATTGCCTAGGTTGTCTTCTAGGGTTTTTATGGTGTTCGGTCTTACATTTAAATGTTTAATCCATCTAGAGCTAATTATTTGTATAAGGTGTAAGGAAGGGATCCAGTTTCCGCTTTCTGCGTATGGCTAGCTGGTTTTCCCAACAACATTTATTAAATAGGGAATCCTTTCCCCATTGCTTATTATCAGGTTTGTCAAAGATCAGATGGTTGTAGATGTGTGGCATTATTATTATCTCTGAGACCTCTGTTCTGTTCCATTGGTCTATGTCTCTGTTTTGGTAGCACTACCCTGCTGTTTTGATTCCTGTGGCCCTGTAGTATAGTTTGAAGTGAGGTAACACGATGCTTCCAGCTTTTTTTTTTTTTTCTTAAGATTGTCTTAGCTATGCAGGCTGTTTTTTGGTTTCATATGAAATTGAAGGTGTTTTTTTTCAAATTCTGTGAAGAAAATCAATGGTGGTTTGACGGGGATAGCATCAAATCTATAAATTACTTTTGGCAGCATGGCCATTTTCACAATATTGATTCTTCCTAACCATGTGCCTGGAATGTTTTTTCATCTGTTTGTATTCTTTTGGTATGTTCCATCAATTCCTAGTTTATTGAGAGTTTTTAGCATAAAGAGCTGTTGAATTTTGTTGAAGGCCTTCTCTACATCAGTTGAGATTATCATGTGGTTTTGTCTTTGGTTCTGTCTATGTAATAGATTACATTTATTTATTTGCATATTTTGAACCAGCCTTGCATCCCAGGGATGAAGCTGACTTGATCATGATGGATAAACTTTTTGATGTGCTGTTGGATTCAGTTTGCCAGTATTTTATTGAAGATTTTTGCATGGATGTTCATCGTGGATATTGGCCTCAAATTTTCTTTTTTAGTTGTATCTCAAAATAAAAAGAGCTATTTATGACAAACCCACAGCCAATATCATCCTCAATGGGCAAAAACTGGAAGTATTCCCTTTGAAAACTGGCACAAGACAAGGAGGCCCTCTCTTACCACTCCTATTCAACACAGTATTGGAAGTTTTGGCCAGGACAATCAGGCAAGAAAAAGAAATAAAGGATATTCAATTAGGAAAAGAGGAAGTCAAATTGTCTCTATTTGCAGATGACATGATTGTATATTTAGAAGACCCCATTGTCTCAGCCCAAAATCTCCTTAAGCTTATAAGCAACTTCAGCAATCTCAGGATACAAAATCAATGTGCAAAAATCACAAGCATTCTTATACACCAGTAACAGACAAACCAAGAGCCAAAATCATGAGTGAAATCCCATTCACAATTGCTACAAAGACAGTGAAATATCTAGGAATACAACTAACAAGGGATGTGAGGGACCTCCTTGAGAACTACAAACCACTCAAGGTGAGATATCTTCCATAGGAGAGCATTTCAGGGCTGGGCTGAGAGGTGGAAGATTGTCCAGAAAGAAGCCCCTGTGCCCATAAACCCACTACCCTGTATAACCAAAAAGAAAATTTACCTTGTTTCCTGTGGTCTCTCACATGCTAAAGAGATTGCTTTGGTTGGAACAGAAGTTGTAGAGGATTTAATTTTGTAAATGCTCAGAAATCATGTTATGAAGTTAAAACATTTTTCAAAATGTAAAGGTTTACCACAAATAGCATAGAAATAAAAGAATAAGAGCTATTGATGACAAACCTGCAGCCAATATCATACTGATATTGTTTGTTATTTCCTGCTCTTTAAAAACTTCGGAGATTTGATCATGATGGTGAAGTAGGCATTCATATATCACCCCCTTACCACTCCTCCTCCTGCCATATCCATTGCATTGAAAGACAAAATGTTATAGAGAGAACAATCCAATTAAACATGGCGGGTTGGGGCTAGGTGCAGTGGCTTGTTCATAATCCCAGGCCTTAGAGAGGTCAAATGGAATTGCATAAGCCCAGGAGTTTCAGACCAGTGGTGCGATCCCTGTTTTAAATAAATAAATAAGCAGGGCATGGTGGCAAGTGCCTGTAGAACCAGCTACACAGGAGGCTGAGCCCAGGAGGTCAGTGCTGTAGTGATCTATGTTTGTATCACTCCCTCCACCTGGGCAACAGAACGAGACACTCTTTTAAAAAATTACTAAGAGATATAAAACAGATGAGATTAGATTACCAAAGAAGCCATGAGGGAAATCTGGGGAAATAAAACAAACTTACATGCAATGAAAAATTACTCCAAAGGAAAAAGAACTCTAACCACAGAGTAAATACATATAAAGACCAAGGTGGGGCCTCTCTGTAATCACAGAGTATCCTGATTATTAATTATCAGGATACTGAATTGTAGAAAATTGAGGCCAGGAGTTTTCTTGCCTTTTTCTTACTCATAGAAAACTTCCAGCATCAGACAAAATAATTCATGACATAAAAGAAAAAACTGGAAAATAATATGTCATTAATTTAAAAATTTCTTTAAGACAAGACATTGAAGATTAAAGTTTTTAAGGAGCTAGAAACTAGGAGACAATAACTAGAAACTAGGGAAAATAGTTTCCCTAGTTTTCACTATATATTTCACTATAAATATATTTTATAAATACAAAGAAATTTTATAAATACAAAGGCAAAATAATTTTAATGAGACAAATGTGAGACCAGGCAATGTGGGGAAATGTTAGCTTACTAGTACTTCTATTGAGGGTATAAATTAGCACAGCTAGTCTGGAAAGCAATATGGCAGTACTTATTAAAATATTAAATGTCTATACCATTCAACATGGCATTCTACTTTTAGACAATACATAATACCTCTAATACATTATAGACATACACAAAAAGTCTTAAACAATTAATCTTTGTCCTTTTTAACAAAAAAATTTGCACTTATACATCAAAAGGAAGAAAAATAAATGTCAGTAAAGTCATATGGTAGAATATTATGTGATCATAAAGTATAAATTGGG